TCAACGTCAGCCTGACGTCACCCCCCGCGTTTTGGACCTCGGGCTGAACTGGCCTTCGGCCCAGACAAAGTTCGTGAGACCTCACCCCACCGGGCCTGGGCTCACCACTGGAAACAGTTTTTTTTCCCCCTCTCAGCCTTGGGCTCAGCTCCTTACTGGGGTTGCTCTAAGAGTTCGAACCTAAGACCATTGGTCTACAAGTTAAGGTTATTTTCCACTGGATTAGACCACATTTACGGTGATACTATCAAACTTTAGACCATGCACAATTTAAACATGAATCAACAAATGTCTATAGCCCAGTAAAAAATGACATTCACTTGTAGATCAATGGTTTTAAGTTCGAATCCGCATGCAAAACCAACCTTTGTCTAAGGCCCAAAACTATGAGGGGGCACAAAAATATGATTTTTTAGCCCCAACCTGTTAATGTCCTAATAGCAAGTAGCCGTAATCATTAAATCATGGCAGCACAAACCTCTTCGAGATTCTCTAAGAAACTAAATATTAATTATATAATATAATATTCTAAAAAATAAAAATTAATGAAACTAAATATAAGGAAACTAAGAGTCCTTAACCAAAAAAAAAAAACACAAACAAACGTTATTATCTTAGCCTAAAAAAGACCTAGTAGTGGCAGCAACACACATAGGAAGCATTAGCAATTTTAAGGTTTTTTTATATGTGTCATACTTTTTTATAAGGGTTTTTCGCAACAATGGTCCCTCAACTATACCCGTAGTGGCATTTGGGTCACTGAACTCAATTATTAGTTGCAGAAGTCACTCAACTGTGTGTTTCATTGCACCAGTAGTCCTTCCGTCAAATCTGGCTAACGTGGTGTCAATTTCATGGGAAAATTTGTCTTTTGAAGTCTGGCATGTCCAACCTCCCATCTACAGCAACTTCCCTCTGAAAAATGTCAAATCTAGCGCCAAATAAATCCCTAATTCCCATTTATATTCGAAGAAAGCCACATAAAAACAGTAGATGTGCTGAAATTTTGGAAATTCGAAGGAAATCTGGGAAGCCCACAGAGTGCATGCGCAAAAATGTCGCAGATTTCTTCTTCATTAACAAATCCGAGCCCTAGTGCGAGGAAGCTATGCAGGTGCGGTGGATATATCAAAACCTGGACTTCATGGATTGATTTAAATCATGGGAGAAGATTTGAGGCTTGTGAGATGAGTCGAGTAAGTTAATCTGTGAAATTTTATTTTGTTGCTTGATGGGTTTAGCTTTGATGTTATGAAACGTACTTTGCAGAGAAACAGAGGAAATGGGCATCATTGGGAGTGGCTGGATGCACCGACCTGTGCAAGAGGAAAAAAACTAATTCCTGGGTTGTTGAGAAGAATGAGAGCAATGGAAGCGGACCTAAAGTTAATAGAAGAACATAAGAAAGAAGTGGAAGATAATTGACCCAAAAAAAAAAAAGTGGAAGATAAGCTGAAAATGGTAGAGAGAGAAAATAAGGAATTGGAGTACGAAGTTGGAGAACTAGGCAAGCAGAAGACTGTTGGAAGAGAAAAGAACAGGCCAACGACCAAGAGAGAATCAAATTTGGGGGGTTTCATTTTTGTCATTGGGTCTTGGTTTTTTGGTGAGTATGATGATGCTCTGTGTCTTGAGTAATTGGTTGACATTTCCGGGTGGAAACTATGAAAAGCTTATGATCAATTAGGTCGAAATGTAACCGATATGTAGTTCATTTTGCAATGAAATTTGAGTTCAAGTTTGGTGGACATATTGGTGTTAGTGTATTGAAATTTTGCAATGAAATTTGAGTTCATTTTGCAATGAAATTTGATGATGCTATGTACCAGTTCCAAAATGTACCAAATGAACATGTATAACACCCAATTCCAAAATGTACCAAATCAGTATATATAACATACAGTTACAGCTTCCAAAATGTACCAAATCAGGTTCCAAGTGGAACAGAAGCATAATGTACCAAATGTACCAAATCAGGTTCCAAGTTATAGTTTCCAAAATGTACCCAAATGTACCAATTCAAGTTCCAAAATGTACCAAATACAAAACAATGACAATAAGTTCCAGTCCAGAGACTCAAAAAACACATCTAACAAACCATTCATAAAACACATCTAACTACTTCAAAAAAGACATCCAACAGACATCCTCCTAGTTAGCCTTCAAAACATCCATGGTTTAAGCTTCTTGGCAGGAGACTTGGGTGGTTATGATGATGATGATATAGCTCCAGTGTAAAAGACTGGCTGTGATGATGATGAGAGTGGTTGTGATGATGATGAGAAATTGTTTGGCATTTCTGTTGTCCTATTTCCAACCTAAAATAAAATGGAACCACATTAACTAACTAAAGTAAATTAACCAACCAAAGTAGCATGACAAAGTTGTCACTTACATTTCCTCTTCCCGTTGGCATTTCTCCTCTCCCTCTTCTTGTAGTCGTTCCTCTACCTCTCCCTCTGCCTCTAGTTGGGTTGGGCTGATTAGGGTGGGCCTAGAACACAAAAATAAACATGATATAAACTAAACATTAACAACAACAAAAATGTCATATGAACTGGTTGGGCCTAAAGACAAAAAAAAAATTAAACTAAAGAGATTTTAACTAAAATACCTGAGTTGCCCCTTCGACTGTAGAAGAGGCAACTGATTCTTGGTTGGGCTGGTTAGGAACGGCCTACAATAACAAAAACAAAAAACCAATTAAAGTTGTCAACAACAAAAGTAAATTAAACTACAAAATGCATTACCCAAATACCTGAGTTGCCCCTTGGACTGTAGAAGAGCCAACTGCTCCTTGGTTGGGCTGATTAGGAACGGCCTACAATAACAAAAACAAAAAACTAATTTAAGTAAATAATAACAAAAGTAAATTAAACTACAAAAAATATAACCCAAATACCTGTGCTGTCCCTTGGTTGGCATGCCGTGTCTTATTATGTCCCTCCTTGCCACAAATTGAGCATCTTATCTTGACATAAATCCTTCTCCACTTAGTAGGTGGTGGATTGTAAAATGGGGGCAAAGGATTTGGAGGAACTGGAGCAGGTACTTCAACATCAGTTGTTTCTTTGTTCCTTGATTTCTTAGGTCTTCCAGGCTGCTTCTTATATGGAAGAGGTTTAATTGGAGGTCAATTAGTTCTCTTCCACTGGTCCATGGATGGTATTGGGTGTACCATAAGTTCATATGAACTCAGGTAGGCTTCTTTCTTATAGCAGTCATGTGCATAGTCAAACACATTTGCATCATTTTGAAAGATATAAGAAATAGCATGAGAACATGGGATCCCACACAAATCCCATCTTCTATAAGAGCAAGTGTTGGCTTTTAGATCCACTACATACTCTCCCTTATACATATGGCTCACTTGGTATTTGCCCTCACCTGCTAATCTAGTAATGCATTGACTAGCTCCCAACTTGTTCTTCTCAATGATCTTGACAATGCTAGGCCCAATTGGATGTCTCCAAACCGTACCAACAATCCTTCTATTAGCCATCCTTAACATGATATAAACTCTAATCCTTTCTAGACATGTTAAGATAGACTTGTCTCTTAAATCTAAAATGCAAGAGTTAAAGGATTCACAGAGGTTGTTCAATAACATATCACACATAAAATGTGGCTCAAAATGAGATCTACTCCAATTTTTGGCTGGTCTTTTCTTAACCCACTTCCATGCCTCTTCATCTTGCTTTTTCATCTTGTCCATTTCTGCTTCATACCAGAGAATGGTAGTTGCTCTTGCCGCAGCCCAGAGAATGTTTTTCAATGCAAGGCCAGCATGCTCTGTCCTGAAGTTACTGTAGAGATGCCTAACATACATTATGTGCTCAGCTGTTGGAAGCAATGTCTCAATTGCAAGTATTAGACCTTTTTGTTTGTTACTCATAAACACCCAAGCTTCCCCATTCTTAACTTTTAAGTCTTCAATCAAAAGTTCAAGGAACCAAATCCAACTACATTTTGATTCCACATCTACAACAGCATAAGCAACTGGGTACATTCCATTATTCTCATCAACACCAATGGTTGTTAAAACTTGCCCTGTGTAAGGTCCCTTTAAATGGCAGCCATTTATACCAATCAAAGGTCTACATCCTGCCAAAAATCCCCTCTTAGGCCAAGTCTATCCATCAGCCCAGCCCGAGGGTGGGAGAAAAAAAAAATTGAGTTCCAGCGGAGCAGCCCAGGCCCGGGGGGGTGTGGGACCCACCAACTCGGGCTGGCCCGAAGGCAGCTTCAGCCCGAGGTCCAAAACTCGGGCTGCTGACGTCAGCGATATAGTACCCGCTACAGTTCCCGCTATAGTACTGCTACAGTACCCCCCATTGATTTATTTTTTTCCCTGTTGCCACGTGGCGTCGTTTGGGCTCTTCGATCTGATTTTTTCCTTCAATCCAACGGCAGCCAATTTTTTTGCAATAAAATACTTGTAAAAATTCGAATTTTTTTAAAAAAAATACCCAAAAATTAATGAATTTTTTTCTATAAATACCAGCCAATTTTTTTTAATTTATTTGAAATTTGAAATTGAAAATTTTATCCGATTATGAGATATGAATAGTATTGACATGTAGGAACCCTAAAATCTAATCCTAAAATATTATCCAAATTAATTATTGAGGTAAAAAAAATTGTGAATAAAACAAAAAAATGAATAGTAACTGCCCTTAGCAAGGGCAACGGGTGGAAACACAAAATTCGGATTTTGCAAGGGCAACCACTATTCACGTGAATAGTAGCTGCCCTGCCCTTGTTAGCCTTTTTCAATTCTTCTGCATAGTCCCATAGCCTCGCATATTGCTCCACATAGTTGCCTTCAATGATCACATTGGACAAGTTCTTTGCTCTATAAATCTGATGCTTTGAAACATTCATATGGTACTTTTCTAAAACCTCAGCCTTGAATGCCCCTATATCCCACTAAGGATTTTTCCTAATCTTGTTAGCAAACCTTTTGGACAGCCACCTTGAATTAGTATATTTCAATTTGTCCACTCTAGTACACTCATGCTCTAAGGACAAAGTCTTTATGGCAAATGTCTGCTCATCTTTATCTATCTTGGAAGCAAACAGAATAAAAGGGCATTTCGTGTGACCTGCACACTTTGCTTGAATCCTTTTATTATCATTCTTCACCAATTTAACATTCCTCCCTTGCACAATTGCATACTCCCTAATAGCTTCCTTGAGTTCATCCTTATTGGCAAATTGCATTCCAATTCTAAACTCTGGATTTCTCAAATCAATTTCTTTCCTAAACTGTTTAAAATTTGTCTTCTTCCATTTCCTCTTGCTTGTCTTTTCTTGACCATCTTCCTCATCACCAGAGCTATCACCATCATAAGGAAGTCAATCACTATCTTCATCATCATTTGATATCTCTCATGTAGCTTCATTAAGAGGCATTTCATTCATTTATTCAAAACATTGTGCATATTCAACATTTGGTGCATCGTTCCTTGGTTGTGCTCTTGATGCAACCTCTTTATTACCATTTTCTTCTTCTTCACTTAATTCATAATCAATGTCAACAATGACATCCTTTTTTTCCTCATCTTCCTCCTCTTCCTCTTCATATTCATCTTCATTGCCAACATCTTCATTGTGCTGTTGTTGCCCTTTTTCTTCACTCTCTAGCTCGTTGTTATGAGTAAGATCATGGTAATACAACACCAATACCTGATCTGATGAAATGCTCCCAACCAACCTTGGAATACAACTATCATTTACAACCTCATTCACAACATGCTGACCACTTTTTGCAGGCCCCTTATAGTAAACTTTTAAGCTTGTAACCCTTTGTGTTATATCAACTTTGTATCCAAGATCTATCCCAATTTTCTTTAAATCCAATAATGACAAATAGTCATGAATACAGTTGTCAACATAGCATACTTTGCCTCCCTTATACATATCATTCTCCAACATACCAAAGTTATGAAGTTCAAGAGTACACAACTTTTCTTTATCTACCACATTACACAAAGGTATGCTTACAAACAATTTCAATGACAATGAGGACAAAGTAAACAAGGAAGACAAAGTAAGTGTAGGCATGTGTAAGTGTGAAATCACTTCCATGACAAACCGATAGAAATGGGACCACAGACAATAGTAAAGACTCCAACTACATTTTTTTCCACCTTAAAGCCAAAACTTCATTGTCAACAACAAGACCACACATTTGCAAACATACTATATTGCAATATAAAATGAAAAATGAATATTTAGGTTATAGTAACTTACCATACTTGGTGGGTTCTCCAGACCACCGAAAAATTGTCTCCATTTGAAGAAGCCAAACACACTGTAGACCCAACACTTTTCTTTGTGATTTCCACGAAATTGAAATCATATATCTATACTTTATCGCTTTTTTAACTCAAAATACTTCGCTACTTAGTCCATTAACGCATAATGCTGAGATAATGTTCCAAAATCCCCCAAAAATCGAAGTCCAATGCCTCTCGATTTGAAAACCCTAGACGCGATTTTTCCCTTTTGCTCAGACTGCCATTTCTGTGCAACTGTCGTTCTCTTAAAAACCAAAAGATTCATTTTAATTAACTGAAAAGTCAGATTTGCCCCTCACGAATCTATGAGATTCTCACAGATGCTTGCCACGTCATCATTTTAAACGAAAAAAACTAACGAACTTGACGAAAGGACTACTGGTGCAACGAAACACACAATTGAGTGACCTCTGCAACTAATAATTGAGTTCAATGACCCAAATGCAACTACGGGTATAATTGAGGGACCATTGCTGTAAAAAACCCTTTTTATAAATAGAATGACACAAAGACATCTTTGTTAACTTATTTTTCTTTTTTTATTTGATTTGGCAAAAAAATAAGCAGAGATTCTTGTTATTTATAATTTGAAGTTTCGAGTTGAAGAATAGATGCTCAAAATTCATATTTTACTATTCTTTGTTCATTAGTTTTATTGTTATTGTTTGTGTGTTTTTATAACAAAATAAAAAATGTTACCTAATAAAATTAATTTGTTGATAATTTTTTTGTTGTTGTAATTTTAGTTTTTAATTTGTCTAAAGGGGCGCACTCTAGAAATTTGCCCTGGGACTTAGAAAATCCAAGACCAGCCATGCCCCCCGACAACTTGGTTGTGTGTGTGTGTGTGTAAGAACTAAGAAACCCTTATCCCCTTCTAATTCAGACTATCGCTTTTATTATAAAAAAATAAAAAAATGAATCAACAAATAGCACAAGTACATGGATTTAGGCAATCAATTGCAATTTAACTTCATAAACGAAAACAAAATTTAATATGAAAATCATTGATCCGTGAGATTAATACTTAGAATTCGGAAATGAATTTCTAGAGTCAACTATCAATACAAGAATAGCACTAAATGTGGGTAAAATGGAGATTTAAAATGTATTTAATTACCGTATTATACGAGTTGTGTCAGCCAAGGAATTTGAATCACAAAGAGTTACCACGAGTAGACCTCCACCACTAGTTTTTTTCTCACCCTTTTGTCTTACCCTAAATCCCAAAACTTAAATGAGTGTATTCAATTTAGATTTTAAATGTAACATCCCACATCGACCGACAGATAGAGGGTGATGTGTCTTATATGTACATGCTCATCTTCATCTAGCACGATGCCTTTTAGGAGCTCACTGGTTTTGGAGTCATAGGAACTTCGAAGTTAAGCGAGTTGGGGCTAGAGTAATCCCAGGATGGGTGACCCACTGGGAAGTTGCTCGTGAGTTCCTAGAAACAAAACCGTGAGGGCAGAAAGGGGGCCCAAAGCGGACAATATCATGCTACGGCGGAGCCGATCCCGGGATGTGACATTAAAAGATTTTAAAGAAGTTTAAAAGTTTTGATGTATTCAATCACGATTTTAAATAAGTCTATTCAATTCTGTGTTTATTCAATTCAGACTTTTTAAACTTCATTCAAATTTGGATATATTCAATCACGACTTTAAAATACTTCATAAAAGTTTGGGTGTATTCAAAAACTCATTGATTTTAAATGAAATACAAAAAGTTGTGGATTTCATTTGATAATAGACTAATTTTAGGCCATAACAAATCTTTGCTTCTCCCCCAGAGATTTTGATAATTATATTATTTTTATTCTCAAGATATGATTTCACCACTTCTACTACCACTATCTTATCATGACTATCACCATAGCCACCGCCACCTCCTCCACCACCACCCAACGCCGCCACTACCAACCCCACCGACACCACCACCACCACCACCATCACCTCACTCCCACCGCCACCACCCTTACCCCCATCTCTACCACCACTACCACTCCCACTATCAGCCCCATCGTCACCACTACCACAGCCACTGCCAACATCACCACCATCATTGCCACTGCCACCGCCACCACCTCCATCACCTCACTCCCATCGCCACCACCACTACCTCCCCCACAAACCACCATCATCATCACTACCACCGCCATCATTATAAACTCCATTAAAATCAATAATAAAATTATAACGAACTTAGATTAAATCTATACACGAATTTAGTCAAAATCTATGTGGAGTTTGTAGAATTCAGTCAAACTCAATTATATTCAATTAAACTCCTTCAACTTTGTAACTCTTTTAAAATCATTTAAAATCTAAATTAAATACACCCTCCTTAGTCTCTTTCTCAGATAAGTTCTCACATACAATGTATTAAATATTGATGCTGGCGAAGATATCGAGGGTATACAAATAAGGAAATATCAACAAAAATATGGGTAAAATATATGTACCGAGATAAATTACCGAAAACGAAAATATTTATGAAATTTCTATGCTTTTTGCGCAATTTCCAAACATGTTCACAACTTAAACATGTATCCCAAATATGACATCCAAAGCAATATTCAAGTATTAGCCCTAACCCAATAATTATCTCTGATCTTAACCATGGTTAACTTATTAGTCTTCTAAATGTGTTTGAAATTTTGTATATTAATTTTTCTAATTGAGTTTGAAATTTGTGATTATAACAACTTTATAGTGGCACTATTCTCATCCAAAACTACTTGGTCCATCTACTTTTTAAATTATTTTATTACAAAGTCTTATATATTTATGGTCGGCCGAAGCTTAATGAAGCACTAACATCGGGCGCCTAAATACTCACAAAAAGAGTGTAAAATGACAAATCGGGAGTGCGAATAATATTCCCTTAAACTTTTATACACCCAAATCTTATTAATATTTTTCTCAAAACACTTCCCCAAATTCTTTCTCTTACTCTCTGAGTCTACCTCCATCCACCCCTTTACATTTGCTTCTTCATCGAAAATTCAAAATCACTACTTCTTTCTTCTTCAATTGAAAGACAAAAACCTTTTTTTCCTTATTCACCGGAAAAATTGCAAGTGAGAGAATAAATGGAAAGAAAATGGAAGTCGTGATCCTCCTTGCTCAACCCTAGACACTCTAGGATCCTTTTTTAAACATGCTCATATTTCGATTTAAGAGATAGATAAATATACACATCCCAATGCATTGATCGGGGACGTCGGTAGTGGTTGAGGACACTTCTCGGAAGATCTGAAGATTGAGGTATATTTAATTTGCTCTTATGATTTTCAATTTTTTTTCATATATTTAGAAGAGTAACTAATGTGTTTACAATTTTCTAACATTATTAAAACCAGTGTTGAGAGAATTGGAGAAACATTGTTTTAACACTTAACTTCAAAATTAATTGTTGAAGACAAGTGAGTTTTTATTTGTAGGAGAAAACTATTTAGTGTAAGTGCTCCATTTATTTTTTAAGTTGAGGGAGGGTTTAGATACTCAACTTCAAAATAATTAATCATTTTGACATCATGATTTAAGATAATTACGGGTCTGTTTGATAACCATTTCAATTTTAGGAGGGTGTATTCAATTGCGATTTTAATAGATTGTAATTTCAGGATTTTAATATAATGAATTTAAGCACGATTTGTGTAATTACAAGATTTTACTTATGATTTTAATAGATTGTAATTACATGATTTTACTTAACTTAGGACTTTTTGTATTCTCCAAAGAATCAAAATATTTGCTGTAGAATTTTACTTATGATCTTAATGGCTTCATAAAATTCTTCATCCAAATCTTCTTCCTCTCTGTCATGATCTTCATACATGCTCGGGTAAATATTAAAATATGTATTATGTGTTTGCTTGTTATGGCCTTTTGAATGAATATCCCATTTCAACCA